TTGCTGAGAATGCAATTGTGAAGAACCCTGATGGCACTCAGGTCCTGAAATGACAAGAAACACAAAGAGTGACAGTGTGAACTCCCCACCGTTTATTGAGCGGAAGTTGTGATACTGAAAAGCATTTGGGGTAAAACTTTTTTTAATTAAATCAGAAAGACCAAAACCTCTCCTCTCTCTCTCCCTCTTTCTCTTTTCTCTCTCCTACCCACCCCCTGTCTTACACGCACGCGCACTTACACAGACAGACAGACAGACGCACACTGGAAATGGTGAAGATTTCTTGACCCAATCAAGTATCCGTTCAAAAAAATTAAAATGTCAGATTTAGGAAGGTCAATCGAGCCGAGGACTTTCAACAACACCGATATATATATATATATATATATATATATATATATATATATATATATATATATATATAAAAAAAAATATACTGAAAAAACAAACAAAAATCCTAATATGTTATTATGCTGTTTTAATGTTTAATGTCAACGTCGGACGTTTCATCGTCTTTTTCATGTTGAATTGTATATGGTCTATGTTAATTATGTTTTATGAATATGTCCTGAAGATGGTCTATTAGACCGAAACGTCCGACGTTGACATTAAACATTAAAACAGCATAATCGCATATTAGGATTTTGTTTGTTTTTCAGTATATTTTTTCTTCATATATATATATATATATATATATATATATATATATATATATATATATATATATATATATATGTGTAAAAAGCCTTTCGAAATACGACTAAAAGCAAATAGGCTTTGTCGATTTGAATAATTCAAGGATATTTTCTCATACAAATCGAACATTTGCAAATTTGCTGATCGTATATTTATTAGGTTGGTGCAAAAATAATGACGTAAGAATGTCGTTTTTGACGTTAAAAAATACGTCAAAAACGACATTATTACGTCATTATTTTTGCACCAACCTAATAGAAGTTTATACACTTCCATCGATTTCGTCTGTTACGTTCTATTTTTGTATATCTGAAGATTCTTCAATACAAACATTGAAAATCATTGTTGCAAGGTGACGATCCAAAATCCGCAGAACATATTTAATAGGGATTTTGTCACTAAGCATATCGAGTCATTAGTTTCAATATCCTTTTTCGTCTATTATTCTTAATCTTAAGTAGTTTTCTAAATTGCTTCTCTACAGTAATTTGAGTGTTGAAGCAATTCTTGGATTTACAATCTTTGCATTTCTCGTCTCGTCTGATAGCCGAGCTCGACCTGAATAAGTCAATGTTTTCGTTTCATCGGCGAACAGTACAACCACACAGTTTAGTAACATCGATGAGATTGGATGCTGTCACGTTCCAACTTTGAAATGTGTAATAATAATAAACAACTTTCGGTATCCGAGGATTCCTGTGTTCCAATAGATGAGGTATTTTGAAGTATTTATGCAGCTGGGTGTATAGTAAATGGGTTGTTTGCTAAATGTCTATTTTAAGTAATAGAATGTTTCTTTCTTCATACGAACTCATATATAAAAGCATGAGACAGAAAGAGATATAAAGATAGATTTTTTCTGCTCTAATACAAGACATAAGCATCATACGCAATAAGAAGGTGTAACATTAAACTTAACTTAACTTTGTCTGGCAAAAGGCCATATTTATCTGGTACAAGGTCCATCAAACTTGCAGCAACAAATTCACATATAATTATATCGAGAAATAGATGATAAGGTAGAAAGTTTATTTGTACACAAGTATAAGAAATGAACTGAATATAGAGATGTGTAATATATACCTTCATTGGTATGCATCAAATAAAGATTTTATTACTTATGTGAGGCTTAACATATACAGCCTTTTGTCAAACTTGAGTAGGACTAAAATGAAGGGATAAGGTGAAGAGAGAGGGAGAATAAGGAGAAATAAATGTTAAGTAAAAATAGATAATGGTTAAAGAATCGATGCATATATATATATATATATATGTGTGTGTGTGTATGCCTGAAGAGAGAGAGAAAGAGAGAGAGAGAAAAGAATAGAGAGAGAGAAGGAGAAAAAGAGAGAAGGTATAATGGAAAAGGAAGATAGAGGTGTAAAGAGCATAGCAAAGAGATGGTGAATTTGTTTTTGTCTCTTGAGTCGGTGAAGGTAGCTGGCGGCTAGGGAAGGGTGTCATATCGATCAACTGGTTCTTGTCCCTAACGCTGTAGCCATCAATAGCTTAGCTTGAGGGTCAGTGGTCGAATGGTCAGTGTCTGCTTGCCTACTGCTGGCAACTGGGGGCTGGTTGGGAATATTAGGGGAATCTTGCTTCACTGGTGGTGGAGGGGAGCCTAAGGTCACATTTCTAATTATGGAAGCAGACCCCAGGCTACGCAAGGGACTGTCTATAGGGAGACAGAAAACAGGAACATTTCGGGAAGAATGAAGAGAGAGAAATAGAGAAAGGTGTGGTGAAAAGAATTCAGGGATAGGAGAAAGAAAAAAAGAAAGAAAGAAAGTGTGAACGAAAGAGAGAGTGAGAAAGAGTATGAAAGAGAGTAAAAGAGAGATATTGAGAAAAATAATCGGAAAAGAAGAAAGAAAATTGTTTCTGCAGCAGAATGGAAACGAAAATAATTAGGATAAAAATGCGAATAACAGTAGGTGTAGAAAGAGTGATGAACAGAAGGAGAAAGTGAGATAAAAGGAGAGATCTATCTATCTATCTATCTCAGCCTTTTTCACATCTATCTATCTATCTATCTATCTATCTATCTATCTATCTCAGCCTTTTCCGTTTCTATCTATCTATCTATCTCAGCCTGTCCACATCTATCTATCTATCTATCTCAGCCTGTCCACATCTATCTATCTATCTATCTATCCATCTATCTATCTATCTATCTATCTATCTATCTATCTCAGCCTTTTCCGTTTCTATCTATCTATATATCTCAGCCTGTCCACATCTATCTATCTATCTATCTATCTCAGCCTGTCCACATCTATCTATCTATATATCTATCTATCTAACTCAGCCTTTTTCATTTCTATCTATCTATCTATCTCAGCCTGTCCACATCTATCTATCTATATATCTATCTATCTAACTCAGCCTTTTTCATTTCTATCTATCTATCTATCTATCTATCTATCTATCTATCTATCTATCTATCTATCTATCTATCTCAGCCTTTTTCATTTCTATCTATCTATCTATCTATCTATCTATCTATCTATCTATCTCAGCCTTTTTCATTTCTATCTATCTATCTATCTATCTATTTAAAATGTGAGAAATAAAATGGCAGGAAAAATAAGAAAGCAATTGAAGGATAAAGACAGAAAATGAAGAAAAATTCTGTAAAATGTTATTAAATTCTTTTTAAACTCAGACTGGATAGAGACAGTCAAAATTAATGTAGATGAATATTAACAGGAGTCTCTCTCTCTCTCTTTATATATATATATATATATATATATATATATATATATATATATATATATATATGCATACATACAGATATATATATATATATTTTATTATTATTATTATTGTTATTGTTATTACAGGAACAATCGACGCCGTATTTGTCAACAGAGAAAAATAAAGGAAAAAAGTCACTTGAATAGGTGAGGATACAAGGAGAGAAAAGTGATTGAAAAAAGACAGAAATGGAAAGAGAAAGTAAAAAAGACAGAGAGAGAAAATATTGTCAATAAAAAATGGTTCGAACGACAATAGAAAAAATAGTCACATAAAAATGTTTTCGTTCGTAAAAGCCAACCTGTCATCAATATTTGTTGAACGTGGAAATTATTATAATTTAACATTTCATCGATTAAGTTCTGAAAAGATAATTACAGTTTTCGTGTAAAGGGCTTTAGAAGGATAAAAATCCAAGTATTATCATCGTCAGTGTGAGGATGATAATCTTCATTAGTATATATGATAACGCCGTTACAAATTAATTTATGCACAGATGCGATGAAAATGGCGAATAGATAAAATATCGTATGCGAAAAATTAATAAGTTATTCTGTCTGCATTTGAAACTTTTTTCCAGTTTAAATCGAATTTAATTGTGGTTGAAAGTGAATTACTTCCACCTTTTCGACGTTAACAATGAGTTGATGGCTTTGTCCGGTTCATCTTCAGAAAGCAATTAATTGCGTGATCGAATAACTTACCCGCTTCATTTTGGGGCTGAGTACTTGATTTGAGGCCCTGACTTGGTGGATATTTGGAGATTTAGATTAGCAGTGGAATAAGAAGACGTTTCTTGACGTCAGACACGGCCTCACAAGACAGGAATCTGAAAATGGTTGGAATGAGTTTAGGGAAATGGTGAATATAAATTCAGAAAGAAGAGAAAGAATTGAAGAAGAAAAAATAATAGAAATTAAAAGAAAAAAAAAAGAAAATTAAGGAAAATACAATAAAAATAAATGAAGACGGGAAAGAATAAAAATCAAAGAAAAAATTGAAGAAAAAAAACAACATTAGTGAAAAAGAGGAAAAACAAAAAAAAAAAAACATCAAGATATTGAAGAAGAAGAAGAAGAAGAAGAAGAAGAAGAAGAAGAAGAAGAAGAAGAAGAAGAAGAAGAAGAAGAAGAAGAAGAAGAAGAAGAAGAAGAAGAAGAAGAAGAAGAAGAAGAAGAAGAAGAAGAAGAAGAAGAAGAAGAAGAAGAAGAAGAAGAAGAAGAAGAAGAAGAAGAAGAAGAAGAAGAAGAAGAAGAAGAAGAAGAAGAAGAAGAAGAAGAAGAAGAAGAAGAAGAAGAAGAAGAAGAAGAAGAAGAAGAAGAAGAAGAAGAAGAAGAAGAAGAAGAAGAAGAAGAAGAAGAAGAAGAAGAAGAAGAAGAAGAAGAAGAAGAAGAAGAAGAAGAAGAAGAAGAAGAAGAAGAAGAAGAAGAAGAAGAAGAAGAAGAAGAAGAAGAAGAAGAAGAAGAAGAAGAAGAAGAAGAAGAAGAAGAAGAAGAAGAAGAAGAAGAAGAAGAAGAAGAAGAAGAAGAAGAAGAAGAAGAAGAAGA